CTTTTTCTTATTTTACGGGCGCTACCACTCTTACACTTTTGTACACTCTTACTTCGTTCCATTAGGGATATTGAATTTGCGGCTCGCCCTCTGGCCACTTTGAGTGCACCAGACCTTGCATTATAAAATATATTCACTTCCTCGGATGTATACTGAGCTTAATAAAAAAAATTATACTAATTAATTTATATAGATGAGGCAAGATTTTTGTCCATTCATTATTAATTAAGGTATATTTTTTTTTTTTATTTATCTTATTTTTATTTGTACACTTCGATGAAAAATGAAATATATACTATGGTTCAGACTTACAGTAACAAAAATTGATTAGAATAAAGATTATTATTAAATTCTGAAATAACGATACACACTGTAAACATTTTTGGTATAAAAATTGACCTTGAGAACACTACACGGTGTGAAATGATGGTGTAAAATTTTAATCCGTATACTTTTAACGCGGTATGATCCCCGTTTTCACACTACTTTTATCAGCTACTAGTATACGTTGCGCGCGCAAGCGCGCGTGTGAATGTTAGTATGGAATTATCTATATTTTCATGCTTATGATATATTTGACCAATCACGTTACGAATAGTTTGCTCTTACATGATATATTTTCATATTTTTCATCTAAATTATAAGAGTGGATATTAAATTACATAAATAAATAAGAAATTAAAATAAATTAAAGACGGAGGGAAATTTTTTCAAAATTTTAATTTTGTTCGTATTGACGAAAAATATTTTTTTGTTATACTCGCTCCACAGAAGTTCAACTTCTGAGCGCTGAGTGGCGTCCGTAAAGGGACTCTTTTCTAGAGACTCTACTATACCGTCTTTTTTTCACGGCCTAGGCCGTGAAGTTTTACCCCCTCCTTTTTTTTACGAACTTTTCATGTACACCCAGCCGAAAATGAGAGACATTGTAAAAAAAAAGTCACATTCTAGCGTACCGACCGATAATTTTTAGTCTTAGTTACTATTGAGTGGCGCTAATTATTTCTCTGCTGGCAGTTTATTACGAAGCGGACCTAATGTTAATAAAATAACAACAACGCCATAAATAAATACTAATAAAAAGTTATTTACATTTTCTTGACGTGAGCAAGATTTTAAGATTAATAGAAAGATAATTAATGTAAAATTAATTTTTTTTGCGCTTGTGAAACTTCATAAAATTTAAATATGTCATTATTTGCCTCCTATCCCTCAAAAGTTAAACTTATGGAGCGATAATAACAAAAAATATTGTATGTCATTCGGCCGTTTAGTGGCAATTTTGACAACGACTTTTTTTCGATATTCGCTTTAATGTTTGTGACGCGAATGTTCGAAAACGAGCGTAAATTTCCGTCCTCGGCTACGCCTCGGACGTTAAAATTACGCCCGTTTCGAACCTTCCCGCCACAAACCTTAAGCTCATATCGAAATATCGTCGCTGTCAGAAAACCGCCACTTCACGGCCTTATGACATAAATATCTATTTTAATGAAACGGAAAAGTCACGAATTATATTATTTAGCATTTTTATTTTTACATTTTCTGACAAACCATAATTTTTAGTTCAAAAAAAATAAATGATTTTTAAAGGATGAATATTTTTATTATCAAAAGGCGCTAATATTTTTATTTTTTATTATGTTGGATTAAAATTTCCAGATACTACAATTTACTCAAAACTCTCAAAAATTTTTTAATTAGTTAATTATTGAGTTCCTCCAAAAATTTTAGAGTTTCAATAACTTTTCAATAATTCACAATAAAAAAAATAAATTCATAGTCATTAAACGATCTAAATAATTCTCTTCCTTAACACCCACAGAATTTAAAATTTCATATAAATAATTCAAAAAAGCTTTTCCACATCACTATTCTCTTTTTGTTCACTGAAAAAAGAAGATCAAACCAAACGTTGTAAGTTCTTAAAAGTACCGATTTTTAGTTTGATTAATAATTAATTCAGACCATAAAAAAGTTAAGCTACAAGCAAAAACTTTTATACTTAGATACAAATAATAAATAACCTCGATGTTTGTTTTTTTGAATAAAAAAATTTAGTATCGGACTTGAAAAGAAAGTATGGATGCAACAATCGCTATCACAATAAGACGAGCCACTTTGGTCTGAAGACCGTGAAAATACTATTCCGCCTTTTTCCGACGTCTGTTTCAAGGTTTTCTTCCTTTTTTTTTTAATTTTTATTTTTCTGTGTTCTGACGTTGCTGCACAAGAGTAAGAGTAAGAGTTTAAAATAAAAAGTTTGATTATAAAAAACTAAATAAACAAGATATAACAAACAGAAAAAACAGACTGACAGACAGCTGGAGCGCTTTTTTTCCAACGAATCCATTTCCGACTTTAACGAAAAAAATGTCACTCCTGGGCTTGTCGAGGAAACAAGTTAACAAACGGGCATCCTTTAAGGGGATATTTTTTTTTTTCCAGCAATGAAATTATCCAGTCAAGTGAGAGTCTTTTTTTTTTTATTTTAGTTTCCCTGTTTGAAAGAAAATTTTTCTCGTGTTATTGAAATGCGACTGTAGAATGCAGCTATATGTCAGTGAGCTTATTACATGTATACTAATGCTGAACACCTTACGTGTTTATATGTATGTAGAGCGTACTCATCTCTCGTCTCCTAACCAGCGTTGAAACTCGCGCGCTGCAATTTAGCGTGGAAACGCCGTGAGCTAATCGAGCTGTCTGGCATCCCTTTTCAATTAACTTTCTCCCAGTGACAGGAATGACATCGGGATTGCCGTAGGCGCGAAGACAAGCGTGGTGGTTAGTGCATCCGACATTAACCTCGTACTGTTTTCATTATAGGTGTTCAATCGAAACTTTATTTCCAAAAACTCATCATTCGTTATATTATACGTGTTTTTCGTTTTTCAAGTGCCCGGGAAAAGTTTTTCAATGACCAGATAGAATATTTTGGTATGATCAGGCCTGATAATATCTAACTAATTGACGTCTAAAGGTGTCCACGGGCAAAAAAAGTCTAATTAAAATATTTATAAAACAAAAGAGAAATCTACATACTTAATTTTGATGTTACTAATTTATGAACGGTTTTTTTTATCTTAATTTGAAGAAAAAAAGGCAATTTTCACGATAAAAAAAAATTAAATTAAATATTTTATGTGAAGTGCACAGAAAAAAATTGTAAAAAATTACAATAGTAATCCAGGACCAGACTTTCAATATACGGTTACTTCAATAATTTCACATCTTAAATTTACGATCGGCATCGTAAAAATGACTATACACTGATAGAAGGATTTAGTTCTATTTAATAAGATTTAGTAACAGATACTAAATGATTTAGTAACAAACCTTTCATTACCAAATATTTAGTAATAGGTACTAAATCATTTATTAAAGCCCATTTAGTCCCACCAAATAAATATTTAGTAGTATTTAACAAATGATTTTTTGGTTTCAAAAAAATTAATTTTTTAACTAATTTTAGCGTGTAACCTAACTTTTTAACTTAAAATAATTAAAATAAATAATTTTAAGTAAAAATATGAGGTATTATAAAGAAAAGAATCTTATTAAATTATATTTTTTTGTTTGAGACATTTTTTGTTGGATAAATCTCCCAAAATCAAGCTGTTACTAAATATTATTTGGTGGAAATAAATATTTTAAAGCCATGTTCATATAAAAAAATCATTTATTAAACTGTAACAAATAATATTGATGGGTAAAAAATATTTGTTTCTCCCAAATAAATGAATAAAAATTTTGTTCCTTAATCAGTTTAGTACTCCATACTAAATCCTTCTATCAGTGTAATAGTAGTAAATATCCAAATTTTTACGATGTAACATCCTAAATTTAAAAATATAAAATTATGAAAGTAGCTGTATTGAAAATCTGGTCCTGGATTACGATGTTACCATTGTAATTTTTACTACATTTTTTTCCGTGTAAGGTAATAAAATATATTTTCCTGTGTGAATTTATTTTTTCATTCAAGAAAAATTTTTTTTATTCAAAATACAAAAAATACTTTAACCCACATTAAGAGAAAAAAATACTTTTGTTTATAAAATTCTATTGACAAACAACATATCTTCTTGATAATGACAATCATTTAAAATATATTCTCTTATCCGGAAAATTGGTCAAGTTAATCAAAGTAATTTTTATTTTTAAGAAGCTTCGAACAAATCTTATGTTAAATAAATTTTCCAAGTTTAACTTTATAATTTAGTGTTCGTGTAGATAAATACATTATTAATGTAATCTCAAAATTTGAAATGACCACCTTTTAATTTCTCTGAAAAAAAGTTTCAAATACGACGTTCATCAGATACACTAACTAAAAAATTAATTTAATTCAAGGAAAAAAAAATTTATCACCAAGACAATTATTGTCAAGAATTTTTGTCATAAATTGAGTGTTGTCAAGAATTTTTGTCATAAGAATTAATGCGGTATTTTACTAGCGGTAAAACCCTTTTTAAATTAATTTAAATGCAACCCGCAGAGTACCACTCGAATATCTTCTCCTAAATTGCGTTGCATTGTAAAACTAATAGAATTTCATCGATTGGTTCGAAGATGACTTTCTATTTAAGTCAACACTTTCTTTAATTAATCAATTAATATTTTTATTTATGCAAATACTTTACTATACAATTATTAAAGCAACCATATGTGTAAAATGTAATATTTAAGTAATTGGAGTATTAATGTAATTATCTTAATTGTTTCATGTTTATACTGATAATTTTTTTAAGTATGGCGGCGAGCTGAAAGTTGTACTTGTTACAAGTTCAAGTAAACGCTGATAATTTTAAATGTTACATGACTAAATATCAGTTGTCATAAATTATTTTAAATAAATAATGATACAATTATTTAAATTTAATCAGAAATACTCGTTTTTTTTTTGTTTAATATAAATCATTCATAATTTTGGCAAGTAGGTTTTATTAACAGAATAATTTAATGTTCTTACAAACATTTAATCAATGCAGATCGAATTATTTTATTAGCGAAAGTGATAACAAAATGTTATTGACTGTATTAAGTGTGGGGTCAAGAATGTCCTGAACTGACTTTAACAAGTCCGCTAATAATTTGGCAACGCTCCCGAGACCCAGTACACCGAGAAGTTTTGACAAAGCCAAATTAAGAGTCTTCAGTAACGTGTTCAGCAATGACTGTACAAGCTTTATTATTGCAACTAGCAACCATACTATTGGCGTTAGTATCAGTTTTACTACCCACACAAGTCCATGGAGAAGAAAACTCAAAGATGTTGTTATGATTGACCCTACGGAAGGTTTCACTGCTACAGCCGTTGCTGCAAGACATTATCCATTAATAATTTGGAATTTTTCTTTTAATTTTTAGAAGTTTTGGTTTTAGTACTTACGAGTTGGCGATGATGAACTCGATTTGTCTGTTGCTGAAAAAAGTACAAAGAAGAAATTATAAATTATAATTTATAATTATTGTTTTGGATATTTGATCAATGCATATTTACTGTTTGAGTTCTGTTGATCTACCGCTGTATTTGTGGAATTGTTTGATGTAGCTGAATCAACTGAAATAAATTTTTATTTTGAATATGATTTGAAAATTTTTTGTATGCATGCATTGGAACGATAATTCACAAAAATTAATAGAAATCAAAATATTTTGAATAAATATTTTTTCAAATGTTGAATTAACTATTCAAATTAAATTTTTTCTTTTTTCAACAAATTTTCTCGGGAAAACTTTGAAATTTTATTAATTTGTATACTAATTAAAATTTTATAAATATTTTTTTGGAAACTTTATTTAATTTTTTAGACATTTATTCGAACTAACGAAAATATAAAAAACATTTAAAAAATTTTTTCGTGATATTAACATCAAAGAAAATCAACCTGTATGCATTCTTTGAAAAACAGATATCACACTGATAAAAAAAAATTAGCTTGATTATAAAAAAATTTTAAAGAAAGGAAATAATTTTGACGAGTTTCAAGTCAACTCAAAAAATTTCAGTTTAAAAAATTTTTCTGCTCAATTCGAGACAAAGAAATTTTTCAAAATAATATTTTCTTTTAAATCAAGTTAATTTTTCTATGAATAAATTTAATACACGTTTCGCGTTCTAGAGTGCAGTTTTATTAATATTTACCTGTTGAGTCTGATGAATCTGATGTTGGATTTGAATTATCAGGTGTAGTTGAATCGGCTTTAAAATTAATTTAAATTTTATTTATTAAATATTATTAACATAGTATTCGAAGTTTTTACGTTAAGTTAACACTTACAAGTTGAGTCTTGCACTGCAGGCGAAGAATTGTCAGTCGAACTCGAATCAGCTGTTGAAAAAAATTTAGTTACAATTATCACGTGAAAAAAAAATTAAAAAACTAATCACTGATACGAATCTTTTGTAATTATAATTTTATTTTTACGCGTTAAATCCGACGATTCAGTCGATGAATTATTTGTCTCAGTGGAATCATCTTGTCCCTCTGAAAAATCAATTTTTATAAAATTTTTAATTTACAAATTTAAACTACTAACATTATTAAATCAATAAATCAATATAAATACTTACGCGTTGAGCTCGGAGAGTCAGTTGTGGAATCGTCAGTTGAATCAGCTGTCAAAAAATTTTTCCATCATTATATAAAAATTAATATAAAAAAATTACGTAAAAATTTTAGAAAGCAATAAATAAAATATTTCTGTACTCACAAGTTGATTGATCCTTTACAGCTATGAACGCTGTTCCCAATCATAAAATAAAAAATAATTATTAGGATTAAGTTCGAGTAAAAGTATCTTAAAAAAATAACAGATTAATGCTAACAAACTGGATTTGACGTCTCCAGTTCGTTTTTCGATACAGCTATGAAAGCTATAGTGTTAAATCATCCGTCATTAGTCATAAGTCACTAATATTTAAATGGTAATCAATGATTTAACTGGCAAAAAATACTTACGCTCTGAGCTTTCAAACGGCTTTGAATTCACCGTTGCGAAATATAAAATCACCAAAACAATATATATTGAAAATTTAGCCATTTTGTAAGTGATTGTGGGTCTACAATTTCCTTTAGAGACACTTGTTGACGAGTTCCAATTGTAAAGTAAGTGAACTGATGCTAGTCTTTATATACTTGTTGGCTTATCACTTTTTAAAAATAATTACTTGCGTAACTCGAAGGAAAAAGTATTGATAATAATTATTTAAAATTTAATATTGGGACTCCCGAAAACTCTAGATATTACAAAATTTTCGTTTTGATCAAAATTTTTGACGAAAATTAAAATTTTATTGATTTTTTAAGATAACTTATAAAAATAAAATATTGAAATCCTTGGAGGTAAAAATTGTTATGAGGAAAAAAAAGTTTTTCCTCGTTAATAAAATATAAAATTAATTTTTTGATTATTCAAAATAACAAACAAAAGCAAGATATTAATAAATCTTCAATGGTAAAAATTTTTCTAAAAAATTAAAATATTAAAAAAAAATATGTATAAAAAAAATTTTCATTTTGTATTGAAACACATGTAAAAAGTTGACATTGTATCGAATGTAGATAAAACGAAGAGCAATCAATTTTAATTTGTTCGCATAATGCCGATAAACTGACCGACAGCTGTAATTATGTAAAATTGCAGTCAATTAGACTAGCCAACATACGTCAGAAAGCGTTTTATTTATTTTTAACCAATCATTTATTTAATTGCAGACTAATTTCTTTTCGATGATAAAAGTTGATTGGCCATTTTCATTCTTCCTTATAACAAGGCTTATTTAGCGCAATACCTGATTAATATTTTTTAAAACTTGGAATATAAATTATATATTTATAAATTATTTTCATGCAACGTAAGATCTTTTAAGGACTGAAAATTTCTTAGCTTATATGTTTTTTAACAACATTTTGCAGATACGATTTGATTTTATTATTCAACGATCGTCTGGAGTCAGTGCAGCTGGTCTACATACATTTTCTCCATGTATTTGAGGCATTACAATGCGATCTGCGATACGTACCTATATGTTATGCCATAGCTTTGTTCGGATCTATAAATATTTATAAGGGTTTCGCGAAATGCGGAACAGTTTGTCGTATCTCTAGTTTTATATTGAGTCATAAAGAAGCTGCTGTCGTTCCTTAACTATATTTCAATGACCATAACTTTATCGTTTCTTACAACCTTCGCCGTGAAAAGTGAAAAGTTTGAAGTGAGAAAAGGAAAAGTATTAATTTTAGCACATTTCGAGCTTACTTTTCAATAGGTTTCAACATTTTTTATCGTCAGTTAATATATACGATGAAAAAAAAAATATTTGATACAAAAGAAATATTTTTGATCCGAGAAAATTATTTTAAATAGACTCTCGTCTTGAAACTCGTTTTTAAATTCCCGCTAAAAAAATTGGAAATTTTTGAAAATTGAGAAGTTATTGGTTTTACCCCGTTTTTCGAAAATTGAGTTTTTATGAGACCTCGATGCTTTGAGGTCCTAGAAAGCTTCCCTGACTATTCCTACGATGGTGTTTGTGTAAATCTCTCATAATTTTTGAACGGCTTGATCAATTTGATCGAGGTTGGTGCTATTCGAAAGAGCTTGACCGAACTTAGATGTTCAATACAATTTGGACCGATTCACAACGGTAGATTTTGAGGAATCTCGAAAAAACTACGAAAAAAAATTTTTAACTCCCCGCTAAGAAAATTGAAAATTTCCAAAAATCGAGAAGTTATTGCTTTTACCCCGTTTTGCGAAATCGAGTTTTAATTAGATCTTGACGTTTTAAGGTCACAGGAAGCTACCGTGACTATTTCCGCGATGGTGTCCGTGCGGCTGTATGTATGTATGTGTGTGTGTGTGTGTGTGTGTGTGTATGTATGTAAACCTCATAACTTTTGAACGGCTCGGCCGATCGGATCGAAATAGGTGGCGATCCAAAGAGTATTCTTGCCATTAAATTTCGTGAAAATTGAAATCGATTCGGTTCGCTAGATTTTGAGAAATCTCAAGAATAAAATTTTCAAAAAATCGTTTTTTTGGAATAACTTCTAAACGGCTTCACCGATCAATTCCAAAAACTAATCAGCTCTTGAGCTTGAAAAACCACGTCGATTGCCACCAGTCCCATAAAAATCAGTTGATTCGTTCGAGAGTTATTGAAAATGAAAAATTTCGAAAAAAGTGTTTTTTTCACATAACCGAGATTTCTTTTCGGATCGTTTTTGACGAAATGAAATATTTATTAGAGCTCAAAAAATCACGTCGATCGCCACCAAGAACGTGGAAATTGGTTGATTGGTTCGTGAGCTATCGTTGTCGAAAAAATTCGGAAAAAGTGAATTTTTCAAATTTCTCTAAGATTTTCAGTTTGATCAGTTTGTATTCAAAAGTATATCAAAGATTCTAAAAAAACTGCGTGGAATTCTGCCAACCGCATGAAAATCGATTCATTCATTTAGAAATTATTGCAGTTTGAAAATTAAAAAAATACTGTTTTATTAAACTTCTATCAGACTTTTAAGTTCGAAGAGCTCAAAAGCATACAAAAGCTATTTCTTTGAGCTCGGAGAGCTCAAAATAACACAATAATAGTATTTTTGAGCTCGAAGAGCTCAGAAACGTCATAAGTGCAATTTCAAGCGTTTAGGTATGGAATTGGCGGAAAGTTGCAGGGATGGCCTTTAGGGTCAACCGTTTTCTAGATTTTTTTAAATTTCTTGTTTTGGAATAACTTTTAAACGGCTTTACTGATCGATACTAAAAACTAATCAGCTCTTAACATAAAAAAACCACGTCGATCGCTGCCGGACCGGTCAAAATCGGTTAATTCGTTGAGATATCGTTGGCGAAAAAAGTGATTTATTCGAATTACTCTGAACTTCTTCTACTAAGAAATGATGTTTAAGAAATGATTTCTTAAATACAAAGAAATCTTCTTAAATACTAAGAAATCCTTCTATCAGTATATCTTCTTTATTTTACTTACTTAATTTAATTCGTGAGTAAATTTATTGAATAAATTAGAACTAAATATTTAAATAATATTTCAAGTAGTTTTTTTTAGTGTAATGATAAATAAATTTCAACTAACTAATTCGGAAATTCGCTTGTTACATTGCTATGTTCCAAGGAGCTTTGAATTTGCGCCAAAAATCAAAGAAACCCCGAAGATCACTTAGAAACTTTAAGCTTACGACCGTAATTACGCCCATTATAATAGTTGAACCTCAGTTTTTAACAAAAAAGACAAACTTTATATCGGTTTCTTCTTGTAAAGAGTTCGCCAAAGTGAAACTCTCTTAAAAACGTGACTCAGCTAAGTATACGTATGCACTTGAGGACTTTGATAACTAAAAAGATGCTACCGAGCTCTGGTTCCGAATTAAGATTCTTTGAAACATCGAAGCGAACAAGCAGGAGGACTAGAGGAAAACTTTTAAAGAGTTTTACGTTTTATCAACATTAATTTATAATTCCTTTTTTGATCGGAAAAACGACTCCAACATCGTTTTAGTGTCCAAAAAAAGAAACAAAAACAAATTATGTTATTATATTATATATAAATCTGTGAATTATCGCTACAGAAAGTTTGAACAGCAATTAGATGCAATCGCGGTAATTAATGGTTCGACGTGATAATGCTTGCGATATAATAGCAGAAGAGGAAAGAATTATATTACACAGTTGTAATATTTGAGTATAAAGTAGTCTCAAGCTGCGTTCGGAGATTGTACAGGTGCTGCTATCTATCTGGCGTCATCCAAACTTGTGGCTTGTCGGTACATAGCAATGTTTCAACTACTGCGTTGATAACTGAGCTTCTTAGAAGGGTTGACTTTAATTTTATCAGCGATTGATATTTTTATTCTGTTTATAAAGACAACAGTTGGCAAGTCAAAAAATTAAGAAAATTGAACAGCGAATTTATCGAACACTGGAGGAACTTTAAGGGTTTCTCGGTAATCTACATCTGATATTTTATGAATACCCTCAGTAAATTATTCATTCACCCAACAGTAAGTCGAAAGTGTTATTAATAATTGATAAAATAAATTTTGCATTGGTAGAAAAATTTTTTCATAAAAAATGTTGGAATTAAAAGTCGTGAATTTCGATTTTGAAAAAATTTAAGTATTGGAAGTTAATTTTTCACGATTGAAGTTGAAAAAAATGGAAATTTAAATTTTGAATTACGCTTTTTGGTTAAATTTTTATTAAAAACCTTTCTGTTTTGAGAGAATGAAGGGAAAAAAAGAAAAGGAAAATATAATTACTGAGAAGTTTATGCTATGAAGCATTAAATAAATTATCTCATAGTTAATATAAAAATTTAAAAGATAATAGAATGAAAAGTTTGAATATCTCAACTTAAATATTTAAAAACTTGAGAGCAAACTTTATAATGATAATTTTATTTAATTATTAACTGTTGGTAGGAGTCTCAAGACTTTAATCGTTATAATATAATACCTGAGGCAAAGTAGTTTTACGGATAAAGGAACATTAAATAGGTTAGTTATTCATGCCAGAGAATAATGCAGTAATTAATAGTTGAAGAGAATTCAAGTGCATGTGGATATATTATTTATTCGTAATATAAATTAAAATTATTCATTATAATTATTTTACAATCTTTTTTTTTATTTTTGATTACAATCAATATTAGATTTTTTTTTTTTTTTTTTCAGTGCAGAGTATCAAGAAAAGTATAGCCTTCACTATTAATGAAAAGATAAAATCGCTCCATTTTTTCTACAATTCTGACTGGATATGATTTTTAAAGTATAATATTAAATTAATTTTTTAACATTTGTGAATTAAGTTAATAATATTTTCTTTCCTGTTATTTAACAGCTCATTAGAATCATCTCTGCTCATAATATTACACTGCTGCAATATTTATTATATTAACAAAATAATATGGATCCACACTTCAGCGAAGAAGTTTCTGACTAGTGGATGATATAAATCTTTTATGGATAAAATTTTCAGCTCTTACGAAGCGAAAAGACCATTAACGATAATCGCAGGAGTCT